ATAGCATGATGTTATTTTACAGGAGCGACCAAACCATGGCTAGGATCTGCCTCCAATCCCAGCCATGGTTTGGTCCACCATCCACGGAGGATGGAATAAAAATTCCATACCCTGAAGTACCACATCAGCGACATATTCAGCAACAACGTTAAGATTATCCAGTGAGAAGCAAACCTGCCCCAAGGCTAAGATGCAAAAAATACCGCATACTATCTCAATCGGCCGACTTATTGTGCCAAATACAGCGGCAGCCTGTAGAATGCAACCGCGACGTTAATGTGACTGGCACCACACTCCGGACAAGCCAATGGTCCGATGAGCCAAAAGAGTCGTTGACGGAAATCTGATATCCATCCGGAAGAGAGGTCAGCAAAAGGTCTAACAGGGAAGGTGTACGATCTTCCACATCTAGAATCCGCGTAGGCACAGTAACCAGTTGTGTCAGACCATATGCTAAAGCAAAATCATAAAATCTCCCCGCATGAATAGTTAAACGTGAACCAAACCATTCAGCGTAGTGGGTGTGAAAATCGCCAAGGATCACGATCTCAGTGGATGGGACAGGCTTTTTGGACATGGTCAATGATTTGGTCTGTTACGCATTACCGCTATGGGACCTATAGAATCACCTTTAGACGCGGAGATGGTCGTCGCTGCCTACGAGCAACCATAAGATGGACTGGTGCGCACCTTGAAGACTGCCGAGTCGTCGAAAACAGATGTACTCTCTGACGTATACACAAACTCCAACCCGGGGCACAATGGAGTGTTTCAATTTGTACCCTGGGTAAGAGAGGTATGAAGTATCAGCTGGAAAATATACTTGAGTCTCGGTTAAAAAGGGCAAGGCTAGCTTCGTCGTCTTCAGGTGGTAGGCGACGTCAGTGGTGACAGGATAAGTGCGCTGAGAGAGGTCGGGAGGTGCTCTTCAAACTAGGTAAAACAAATCATTTTATTTTATTGAGCGGATGGTTGCAAAGTAACTATTGACATCTTTAGTATAATGGATTTCGTTGAATAAAACTAAATTTACGGATTTTATCACGTTTATTTAACTGATTTTACTTATTTTTAATTCCCGACGTTTCGGGTGCTTTACAGCAACCATGTTCACGGGGGGGGGGGACTGAGATGTTTGACGTCCCAATATCATTGTTAGCCCGGCTACGTTCAGTTTTTGAATATTAATTTTTGGTCCGATTTACGCAAAACGAACTTACAGTATCTTGAAGTCTTGCAGTGGTATGCTTGGGTTTGGGTTTAATTTTGTTAATTATAGGATCCCAAGCAGATGGCAGCACCCAACCATCTTCTCTATTGAAATTAGGATGTTTTTTAATTTCAATAGCCTCGCGTATCATCCTTGGTAGGAATCGGTGTTCTTTTGCGAGTATTTGTGGTTTATCAAATCTGATGTAATGGTGGGGAAGATCTTGAACATGTTCACAGACTGCAGACTTCCCGGAGCGTCGGTGCTTCACGTCAGCTATATGTTCTTTCACGCGGGTTTTTATGGATCTTTTTGTTCGACCTATGTAAGAGAGACCACATTCACAATCTAACTTGTACACTCCTGCATCTTGTAGAGGGATATTACACTTGACGGATGGTAAAAATTGACTAATCTTCTTTGGCGGCTTGTAGTTTTTTTTAATGGAAGCTCGCTTCAAGATGTAGCCAACCTTGTCTGTGACTCCTCTGACATATAGTAGTACAACAGGCACACGCTCGACTGTGGCCGGCTTCACTCGGTCACTTTGTCGTAGGCGCGGGACCCGAAGCTTGTTGTCTTGCAGAACTTGCTTGACGTGCTGCAGCTAGGCGGCCAGATGTTTTCTGTCACAGATCCCTCGTGCTCTCTGAAACAAAGATTTACCCACGGTAGCTAACTGTGAAGGATGATGGTGAGATTCACCATTTAAATATCGGTTGGTTTGGGTCTTTTTTCTATACACAGTGTGTCCAATAGTGTTATCAGGATTTCGAATGACTAAAACATCTAGGAAAGCTAAAGAATTATTTTCCTCTAACTCCATTGTGAATTGTATTTTAGAGTTTATAGAGTTAAGGTGGTTTAAAAACGTAGTTACTTTGTCACATGGTAAAATTGTGAAGGTGTCGTTTACGTACCGCTTGTAGAATCTTGGATTTACAGGAGCAGTAAGAAGGGCTTTCTTCTCGAAGTCCTCCATAAATATGTCGGCAACTATGCGAGATACAGGTGAGCCCATCGCCACACCATCTACTTGCTTGTAGAACTCTTCCTTCCACCATAGATAGCCAGATGTGAGGCAATGTTTGAGTAATACTGCATATTCAGCAGGCATGTTGTTATCTTCTAGCTTCCTAATTACAATTGAGATGCAGTCTTCAATAGGTAGGCATGTGAATAGTAACTGAACATCAAAACTGACCATAGTTTCATTGTCAGCGAGATGTAGGTCTTTTATCACTAACAAAATGGTATGAATCCTTTGTGTGTGCTCTGGTATGTCCTCTCAGTGGTGACAGTATTTTTGACACGTGTTGTGCCAGCTTATAAGTTGGTGAATCGATCTGGCTCACTATAGGACGTAGTGAAGCGTACGGTTTGTGTATCTTCGGTAACCCATACAACCTTGGTGGTTTGGTACATGATGGTATTTGCGAATTCACGTCCAGATTTAATTTTTCGGAGTATTTCTTTATATCGAGTTGCTTAAGCTGGGGCACTTTAATTTTTTTTATCAACGCTGTAAATTCGTCTTTAGGAAGGTTTGGTTTCGGCACTGAACTAAGACGTAACAAGGACGAAATATCTTGACGTATAGCCTCCAAATCTTCCTTACCGATATTATTCTTAAACAGACAGTCCTCAACACTGCAGATAATTTCTTCGCGTTAATTTAAGAAATCAATATGTGAACCAGTACGGACTGGTAATAGCAAATAAAATTCGTCGATTAGAATATCTTAAAAGCGCGCAAGATATATAACATCTTTAAATTTCTTGAAGAGATGCAGAGACCATAATCTCATACCTACGTGTGTCAAAATATCAACAAAAAAGGACATTCGAGGAAGCGCTAAGATCTTAAATCAGGCAAGTAAAAAGTTGTTACGAACGGTGATTTAGCAGAAACGGTTCGATTTATATTTCATAAACAAAACCATAGACAATTTGTCCAGTGAACTAAAGACAGTTATATAAATAATTGCATCGAAACTTTAAACAAACGAGAAACATTAAAATATAATGGATGCAAAAACAAACAAATAGAAAAATATCAAAAATTAACGATCAAATCAAATGCCAACCATCTAAGTCAACGTCAGAACGAAACACAACCGTTGACCACAGACGTAAACAACAAACAACGCACGGTCTATAATCTGTCAAAACATACACTGGACGAACCGACAATAAAGGTATTAGCGTAGGGAATGAACTTCGCATTATCACCGCGAAAAATCCCGTACGAAGAAATTATCTGCAGTGTTGAGGACAGTCTGTTTAAGAATAATATCGGTAAGGAAGATTTGGAGGCCAAACGTCAAGATATTTCGTCCTTGTTACGTCGTAGTGCAGTGCCGAAACCAAACGATGATACGCGAGGCCATTGAAATTAAAAAACATCTTAATTTCAATAGAGAAGATGGTTGGGTGCTGCCATCTGATTGGGATCCTATAATTAACAAAATTAAACCCAAACCCAAGCATACCACTGCAAGACTTCAAGATACTGTAAGTTCGTTTTGCGTAAATCGGACCAAAAATTAATATTCAAAAACTGAAGGTAGCCGGGCTAACAATGACATTGGGATGTCATACATCTCAGCCCCCCCCCCCGTGACCATGGTTGCTGTAAAGCACCCGAAACGTCGGGAATTAAAAATAAGTAAAATCAGTTAAATAAACGCGATAGAATCCGTAAATTCAGTTTTATTCAATGTGTAGTGTTCGCGTAAATTTAAGAAATCATTATAATGGATTTCCGCAAAGTAACGCCTGATTCTATTAAATCGCTTCCATTCCGTTCCGCATCAGTGTAAATTAAGCCTAACTTTGAAGCAAGCAACCTTTTTTTTTTCAAATACACCCACAACGACCTCTAGTAACGGCCAACTTCCGCGTCAACGCGTGCAATAACGCTTTAACGATACACATTACGTGCGCGTTCCGTTATCGTCAATAGATAAAAATCTTTTCCCGGCTCCTTTGAATGCTAAAGCAGTTTTCCATACCTGACCTGCGGATAAAAGAAAATAGTGCACATATTTGGCCACATACATGGTGTGGGTAACGTCGGGCAGCTCAAAAATTATATTTATTACTACCGAACTAAAAAATTAATATTTATTACTAAAGAAGAGCCGTGGTAGCACATATGTTAGTGCTCGCTGTAAATTTTACAGTTTGCGAGTAACCCGGGTTCAATCCCCGCCGACATCATTGAAATTGTTAAATGCAATTTAGGTCCTGTTTCACCACGTGATGGGCGGTGAAGGAAATCATCAACAACATGAGGAAATCTGCATGTCTGAGAAATAAGAAAAAAAAACATTTCGTAGACATGTGAAATTCACCAACACGCATTGGAGCAGCGCAGTAGACACTCTTTTGCCCTTAAACTCTATCAAAAATGAGGATAGGTCTGTGCCCAGCAGTGGGTTGTACATAGGCTGTAACTTTAACTTTTTTAACTAATTACCTATTTCAACACATGCATACATCATGTACATACATAAATATAGCAATATCAAATTAATACGCGTATAAAATAAAATGAAAAAATACAAGGAAAGGAAAAAGTAGAAATTTGAAGGCTATATTAGAATGAAAAAACACAAACTACTCCCGTAGTGTGAGGAAATGTTTCGAGAGCAAGCGTTTAAATGATGCATTCCTCGTACTTTGGCAGTGATTGTTAGTGTGCTGTTACAAACAGACTGTGCGGAACAAGGTGTATCGTAATAAAAAGCTTTAATTTCAGAAAAGATAATTTTTAATAACGCAAACATTATATTACAATGGAGTTCAGAAGGTGGGGGTCGTCAGTGAAGTCGTGAGGTTGCAGTGCGTGTGCGCGGTCGGTCGTGGATACTGCTTGTAGCGACACTCGAGCACTACACCACCTTCCCGCACTCCCCGCAACCCCCGCATGCTTCATGCTTCCTAACACCTCCTCCAAAACTTCAGTTCCTATAGCTTCTGTCCCTGGTATACCTACGACGCCCGCACTTCCACTTGACCCCAGCGCAAGCACGTGCAATATGCCCACTGCGGCTGTGTCTCGACGTCTACAGTAGAGTAAATGTTGCTATCATTTTAGAAGAGTCATAGGTTGTAAAGAATTTAAGTTTTATCATCATCATCATCATCATTACAGCCATTCACAAGTTCCCTGCTGAACATACGCCTCACTCAAGGAGCGCCACAAAGCACGGTCCTGAGCCACCTTCATCCATCGACTTCCTGCATGTCTTACCAGATCGTCACTCTATCTAGTGGGGGATCATTCTACAATACGACTACCGATTCGAGCCTGCTACTCGAGAATTTTTTTTTTCCATAGGGTCGAGCTATATAGCCGGCGCATTACCACTTCAGCTTAGTAATCCGTTGGGCTATGTCGGTCACTCTGCTTCTACTGTGGATGTTCTCATTCCTAAGTTTATCACAGAGAAACCCCGAGGATTTAAGCTTAAACTAAATGTAATGATTTTCTATTATTGTTCGTCTTGTAGTCCATCATCTGATACCGTGGTGTCTTAGGTGGAGATAATTTAGAAAATTTCACGAGAGATTCACATTATAAAACCACGATTTCTTATAATTAAACAAATGTCATACATTAATTAAAACTAATTTTATGAATTCTGCGCATCTAATTTAAATTTAATTCTTAATTCCAGATATTTTTGGTGTTTTAAGGTTATAAATATATTATAATTAATGGTGTTAAAATATTCAAAAACTGAATGAGGCCAGGTTAAGTTAAATGTACGCGCGTTAAAATCCTTAAAATAAGTTTTATTGAATAAGCTACACGATAAAAAACAGCGGCACTCACTGGTCCTCACATGCCCATGCCAGATGTAAATCTTAATTTTTTTTACAGAACTAGGGTGACTAGCTCACAGCACACCTGCTGGTAAGTGGACGCTGTAGCTCATAGACATATCTATCCTCGATAAAGGTTCCAAAAGCAGATGCGTTAACACCCCAGAGAACTAAATTGAAACCAGTGAAAACGCACTATACGAAACAAGGCATCATTCTGTTGTTTCACGCTGATATTTTGTGAGAATGAATCAACGCTGGTCGTGCCGACCCATGCGTGCTGCAGCGTTGCGTTGCTCTGCCACGTCAGCTTATGCGGTAATATTGGAAGTAGTCCAACATGCATTGTTGGAGAGACGGGGAAAATCACAACAATATTTGTTTCAGTGCAAACTTTGGATTAGACTGGATTTCATAAAATAACTTTTTGCGTACTTCAGTTGGTCGTGGAAAAAGCATACAACCCACACTTTCTAAAATTTATACTTGATGCCCATAACATATCAAATAGAAAAATAAAACTGGAACCAACCATTGATCTGGAAATGGTAGATATCGAATGTATACCATTTCCAGATCTAGACGCCAATATTTCAAAATTACCTTTTAATGGGTTGGATCCCTTTTCTATAATTATATCCAATTTAGACAATACACTTTAAATAATCACCTTGCGCTGTACTGTACGTACACTCGTCCGTTGCAGCCGGGAGACATGCGCAAGTTCTTCGGCCACACGGTGAATTCCTCGTGGCCATTGTACAGAATCACCGCTTCCATAGCTGTCAGAGCTGCAAAACATTCATGGATATAATTACTTCTACCTTGGTGTGAGACTTTACTTACCGTTTAATTTTATATGAAGACAGTCTGGACGGCTCCGTGGTGCAGTGGCTTAGTAATGACTTGCTGCGCTAAAGGCCGCGGGTTTGAATTCGCACGGAACAATTATTTGAAAGGGCTACAAATAACTGTTCCTGGTCTGAATTTTTGTCTTTGTGAAATTGATGTATATAAATTGCCCTCACGATACAGAAGAAAATCCTAGTGTGGAAGTAACATTTCTAAAAAAAGAGAAGAAATAATAAGTGTCCTGTTAGATGGAGCTGTATATATGCAATTTTAAACCTTCATGGAGTGCCAAGTGCAACTGGTATTGACGCGGGGACGTCACAAAAATCGAGTCATGCCGCGCACGTGATTGTGATTTTCACAAAACAATCACAACATAATGTTATTGTCTTAAAAGTTACGTACAAACACTTATACAATGAGAAACAACACACAAACAAAAGTTTAACTGTGGTCTTTGTAAGTTGTATGAAATAATAATTATTTACAATTTATTTATTTCTTTTTAATAAAAATAACATCCTCCAGACCGAATCGCGATCCCGGCGGCCAGCACCAACGGAGCCAGCTGCGCAGGCAAGGAATATAGTGCCTACGTTGTCGTATGTGCTTTTACAATTTTAAAGTGTTACTTAAGTATTTATTGATTAAAACTACTTTTACGGATTTTATCGCGTTTATTTTTACTTTTTATTTACTTTTATTTTTAATTCCCGACGCTTCGGGCGCTTTCCAGCACCCATGGTCCCCCGTGACCAAAAATAAAAAGTAAAAATAAACGCGATAAAATCCGTAAAAGTAGTTTTAATCGTGTATAGTGTTCGCGTAAATATAAGAAATCATTAAATATTTATTCTTAAGTACTTTATTAACTCGTCTTCAACCAGTCCTCAGCCTGCATAAAGTATGAAGGAAATTGCATTGTAATATACTCGTAGATCTTTGTATCACTAAAATATCGACAATTATCATAACTACTTCGGAACACCAAATACAAACAAACTTATAAAGCAATCGTTATTCGTCAAGTTCTTCGACTTATTATGTAGTAAAATACCTAGCACTCTATTTCTTTTATAGCCGGGGCAGGTCGCTAGTAATTTATAGTATAGATAAAAAATAAAGCTTGTGACAATAATTTCTAACAAGTACTCGGTTATTTTATTAGTCATCACCATCATTGTATTAGGATCGCGTAAAAAATTATTATTTTTGCCACAATAGCACAACACACAATTATTATGAAATCATTAAAAATTACACTGTTTTTATTTTTAGGGTGCAAATTATTATCAACACACTAAGTTGAAAATTTAAAAAATACTAAATAGTTATGATATTTTTAATACCCGACAACGCATTAAAAATAATATAGATTTCTCTTTTATTTTTCATAACCTTTGATAAAGGAGAATGGATTAACGACTTTTTTGTGAAATTGGTCTAAATGGCTGCTAAGGTCAAACATTTGTACAAACATACATACATAGAATGTCAAGTATAGAACCATTTTTGAGTCGTTCATCATCATCATCATCATCATTACAGCCCTTCACAAGTCCACTGCTGAACATAGGCCTCCCCCAAGTAATGCCACAAAGCACGGTCCTGAGCCACCTGCATCCACCGACTTCCAATATGTCTTACCAGGTCGTCACTCCATCTAGTGGGGGGTTGCCCTACACTACGCCTACCGGTACGAGGCTGCCACTCGAGAACCTTTCTTCTCCATCGGTTATCGGTTCTTCGAGCTATATGGCCGGCCCATTGCCACTTCAGCTTACTAATCCGTTGGGCTATGTCGGTCACTCTGGTTTTACTGCGGATATCTTCATTTCTGAGTCTATCACGCAGAGAAACTCCGAGCATATCCGAGAAATCCCTCTCCATAGCTCGCTGAGCGACCTTGAGCGTCCTCATACGGCCAGCAGTGAAGGACCACGTCTCAGATCCGTAAGTCATCACTGGCAACACGCACTGGTTGTATACTTTAGTTTTCAGAGATTGAGGTATACCTGACGAGAAGATGTGTCGTAAATTCCCAAACGCTGTCCAACCGAGTTGAATCCGTCGATTGACCTCACGGTTGAAGTTGGATTTACCTAGTCGGATTATTTGTCCCAGGTAAACGTACTCTTCAACAACTTTGAGCATGGTGCTCCCAACAACTACCGGCATAGGTGTGACATGGACATTAAACATGATCTTTGTTTTGTCCATGTTCATCTTAAGAACTATCCGTTGGGAGACACCATTGAGGTCATTGAGCATAGTGCTAAGGTCCTCCAGCGATTCTGCTATAAGGACTATATCGTCAGCAAATCGAAGGTGAGTGATGTACTCGCCATTGATGTTAATACCGTATCCTTTCCAGTCCAGTAGCTTGAAAACGTCTTCCAACGCAGCGGTGAAGAGTTTCGGAGATATAACGTCACCCTGTCTTACACCTCTCTGCAGTTGGATAAGTTTCGAGCTCTGTTTCTGTACTCGGATAGCCATCGTAGCCCTACTGTACAAACACTTCAGCACATCGATATACCGACAGTCAACTTGGCACCGCTGAAGGGACTGTAGCACCGCCGAAATTTCAACGGAATCAAAGGTTTTCTCTTAGTCCACATACGCCAGGCAAAGTGGCAGATTGTACTCTTCGGTCTTCTGTACAATCCGCCGCAGGGTATGTATGTGGTCTATGGTACTGAAGCCTTTTCAGAAACCGGCTTGTTCGGGAGGCTGGAAGTCGTCGAGTCTGCGTGCGAGACGATTCGTAATGACTCTCGAAAACAGCACGTAGACGCGGCTCAGAAGGGAAATCGGTCTGTAGTTCTTCAAGAAAGCGTTGTCGCCTTTCTTAAATAACAGGACTACCGCACTTCTGCTTCACGCCCCCGGAGTACTGCCACCATGGAGGAAGGAATTGAAGAGCTTCTGAAGGACTTCAAGTACCGGTGTTCCACCCGCTTTCAGAAGCTCCGCTGTAATTCCATCCTCGCCTGGGGCCCTATCGTTTTAAGATGCTGGAGAGCCATTCTAATCTCGCTCAGACTGACGTCCGGGATATCATCGGAATAGTGTCGGGTAAGACTTGCTCTTGGATTGTTAATCACACTTGCGTGTGGCTCCAACGATGATGTGTACAGCTGCCCATAGAACCTCTCAATCTCACTCAAAATCTCAGGTGTCCCGGAAACGATGCTGCCATACTCAGTCTTCAGCTTTGACAGTTGGCTCTTTCTGGCAGACAGATCTCTGGCAAAGACTTTGGAGCCCTGGTTCCGCCCGATCGCTTCTTTAATACGAGCAGTATTAAAGTTGCGTAAGTCTCGCCGCATGCATTTGGAGATCTGTCTGTTCAGTTGCCTGTATGCTGTCAAATCTGTTGACGATTGCAGCATCATCTCCCGTCTAACAGCCATGAGATTAAGAGTGTGATCGGAGAGTTTTTGTGTTCTTCTGCGGCGGGTCTTGCAGAACTTTGCTCCGACCGCATGGACAGTTTCCACGAGCTTGTCATTCATATCGTCCACCGCATTGCAATCTTCTAGGCACTGGAAGCGGTTACGTAACTCGAGCTGAAAAGTCTCGGGATTCTGGATTAGAACACGAGGAGGACGGAGCGTTGACTTTATTAGACGAGACCTCTCCAACTTAACGTTTAGGTTCAGTGTGCCTCTAACCATTCGGTGATCGCTGCCGGTTTTCACCCTTGCGATCACTGAGACATCACTGAACAGTTGGCGTCTGGTCGTCATAATGAAGTCAATCTCATTTTTTGTCGAACCGTCGGGGCTCGACCAGGTTCACTTCCTGTGAGGCCGCTTCTGGAAGAAAGAGTTCATCATAAAGAGTCCCTCTTTCTCCATAAAGTCAGCCAGCTGCTGGCCCCTACGGTTCTGTTGCCCTACTCCAAATTTCCCTAACTTCAGCTCACCGGCTTCTCTTGCGCCTAGTTTTGCGTTGAAGTCTCCCATCAATACCGTGTAGTGGGTTTTAGAGGAATTCATGGCTCTAGAAATATCCTCATACATTTCCTCCACCTCCTCATCGGGATGTGCCGAGGTTGGTGCGTAGACCTGTATGACCTTCAGCGAATACCATTTGGTGATTCTGAGTATCAGGTACGCGATCCTCTTCGACACACTCCCAATCTTTACAACGTTGTTGACAAGAGACTTGTGGACGATAAGTCCGACACCTCCTTGGGACAGATGGTCGCCCTCCTGGTGATAGAACAAGTTGCCGGACTCGAGGATTACCGTATCCTCCCCCTCTCTTCGGACCTCAGATAATCTAATAATATGCCAGCGCAACTTGTCTACCTCTTCTTCCAGCTCCAGTATCTTCTCGTCAGTCCTCCGGTTGCGTGCGTTATACGTTACCAGGTCGAGTCGTCGTAGGTGGCAACCGAACCTCCACCGGAGATTCTTAGCACCCCCTGCCCCGCCGTTACCATGGTCGCAACCGAAGCCAGGAATAGCGGGACCGCCGGGGACTGGGGGCCGTTTATTTGCGTCGTTGCTCATCGCTCATGGGGGGATATTTGCCATAGTTGCCACGCTTGGCGAGCGGGTTGGCAACCGCAGTTTTTTATTATGTTATTGTTGTTATTAGGAAGATGCTGCTGCCCATCTCCTTTCTGTGTCCCTCTGTCGCCTCTTACGACACCCACGGGAAGATATGGGGTAGTGGATATTCTCAACCGCCACTATACGGCAACCGCCACTACACGGCAAGTTTGAGTCGTTGCGATCGGTTAAAATATAGACTTAAAGTGACAAGCCTTGGATGTAATAAAACATAGCAGTTACCGTCACATCACGGCATTACTAGTTTGTAACTTCGCCAAGTCAGTTTTATAGACATAATGTTAAGACATTATTATTAATTTTAAAAACGAAATATAACATTTCCTAACCATTATTATTTCG